GGATCCTTAATTAGGGTTTAGGGTTTAGGGGTTTAGGGGTTTAGGGGTTTAGGGTTTAGGGTTTAGGGGTTTTAGGGTTTAGGGTTTAGGGTTTCGGGTTTAGTGAAAGGGTTCCTTTGAAGGGATCCTTAAATTGAAGGGTTCCTTTGAAGGGTTCTATGAGGGATCTACTGTAAGAGGGTTCTATAATGTAGGGGCCTTAATTATAATAGGGTATTGGGGGTGGGGTTCCTTTAAAAGGGCTCTATAAGGGTTACTAGGTCTATGAGGCCTTCATAATCAGAATAAAGTCTTGGGGCCCATTATACTATAACTATAAAAAGGAACCCGAAAATAGTATAGGTAATTGCTGAGGCCCCTATATTAAATCCCAACTCAAACCCTCAAACCCCGAAGCCTAAGAACCTTAAACCCTCGACGAACTATTTGATGCTACGTGACTACTTGGAGCCTAAGGGCTTTAGTAGGGACCCTGAATAGGGACCCTTGTAGGTTGTTGGGGTTAATATGGCGACAACCTGGCTACATAAGGGGTATATAAGGACTATACAACGGTTATTTAAGGTAATGGGATTAAATTCCTTATGGCTCCTTCATATAACTACACTATAAAGGGGCAAAACCTTATTCCTTATGGTTCCTTACTATAACTATAAAAGGGCCCATATTAGGGGTCCCTCCTAAAGTCCTCCTAAACCCTAAACCCTAAACCCTAAACCCTAGAACCTTGCTGCCAGGCTCGGGAGCTTTTAAAGCGTGTCGGGGCCATTGTCTAACCCAGACCTTCGGAAATCCCCAAACTAAGGAACATACCTTGTAAATCATACTTGAGATCCAGGGATCCTATTATTATACCTTATAAATCATACTCGAGATCCAGGGATCCTAGTATTATAAGATAAGGTATAGTCCTTAATTAAGGGTTTTTGGAGGTTCTGGGAACATGGAGGCCCTAATCATCAGAACATGGCCTCGGCGATCCATGAGCATGATAGTTTGGTCATACGGGATCTGAAGGTTTAGGGTTTAGGGTTTAGGGTTTAGGGTTCTGAAGGGGCCGGTATGATGTCAGGAACCCAGCCCTAAACCCTAAACCCTAAACCCGAAAGACCCCCTGCACAATTTTGGCCTTTGTCGCCGCATCTTCCTACCCTCAAGACAAGGGGCGGCTCGCCGGGACGACCATCCTTCTCGAAGGGCTGCACCTCGAAGTCTAAACCTAAACCCTAAAGCCGGTAAAACCCTACAACTCTAAACCGGAAACCCTAAACCACTACACCCTAAACCCCTAAACCCTAAACTCTGAACTCTTTAGGCTTGGGCTCATGGTTTGGGGTTTAGGGTGTAGGGTTCCGGGTGTAGGGCTGAGGGTCTAGTATGTAAGGTTCAGAGCTCAAGGCTTAGAGTTCTGAAAGGTCCATGTGGGTAGTTCTCTAAACTATGGTGCTCCCCCCAACTAGTACGGCACCCTTGTAAAAAGGACACCAAAAGGGACCCTAACTTAGAGAACTACCCATGTCAAAACTTCCGTACCTGGTACCTAATTACCTAATTATTATATATCTGGCAATCAGCTCGAGTCTGGAGGAATCGTAGTAATGCAGGGGCCCGAATGGTTAGAAGAGGGTTATGGGCTCCTTTATAGTATACCGTTTTTAAAGGAACCCTATATAAACAATAAGGTTGGTAATTATTTCTATATTATGTACTTGATTCTTAGAAAAGTACCGCGTGCTGCCTTGCTTCTCGATCTGATGCTTGGGTTTAGGGTTTAGGGTTTAGGGTTTGCCGTTCGGAGTTTCGGGGGTTTTGGGGTTTAAGCCTTAGGCCCT